GAGACCAAATGTGTTGAAGATCTCACAACGATAGTGCGTTGCATAGCTCATTACAAAGTAATATATGATCAACAGCTTACCGGTAATGATACCGCAAGTACCTGGTTTTTATCGAGAACCAGAAACAAAGATGATCGTAGTAGAAATTACTGCTCAACCTTTTGACTACAGAGGGATTGTTGGTTCTTTGCAGTATTTAGTCCGTGGGACCCGACCGGACATTGCTAGCGCAGCTAGAGAGCTCAGTAAGTTTTTATCTTGCTACAACTGTACACATTGGGATGAGGCGAGACGTGTACTCAAATACTTGAAAATGACGTCGACGTACGGTCTATTACTCGATGCTTAAATGAGTGACGTGACTTATGAAGTGTACACAGACGCAATGTTACTTAGATGGTGTGTCATGGTACAGTAGCAAACAAAGAGGTGTATCACTCTCTACTGCTTAACCAGAAGTGAAGGAGCTAAAGAAAGTGAGTGGCTGTGGCATCTGCTAGATGAAATGATGTTTCCGCAACGGATACCAGTGCAACGTGTGGTGCGACAGAAGCGCAGCTATAGTCATTGTGAAAAACCTAGGAAATCACGAAGCTAAAAGCACATTGAAATCGTTGAAATGGGTCGTCTCAAAATAGCATATCGCGCAGCTACAAAGATGACAGCAGCCATTCTGACAAAAGCTCTTCTACCAAAACAACTCGTAAATCTAAGGGAGAAGCTAGAAGATCAAGATCTGAATATGTCTCCGAGTACTTTGTGGGAGTGTTGAGTGAAGGACAGCAGGAAACCTGCTTGTCTCTTAATGAAAGAAATGACTATATGAGTGAACATTTTTTCTAAAGAGATGTGTATCTATCATTATCAAGTACGAGAGGACATTCAGAGAAGATCACAGATGGTGTGATCGGGTACATAGTGCGATGACGACAGCAGGCAAAGGAATGTGAAGCCCCCCCCCCCGGCGCGCAGTGCGGCGGGAAGCTCACTTCCCAACTTACCTCGGACTGAGCACATCGTCTAGATACGGGCAATTAGGGATAACAGCGTAAAATACTCACGTAGTGAGTCTATCTACAGTGTTGGAAAACAACAGGTATGAGTCTCCGTGCAGAGGGGACATCAGAGCTAAATCATCAGAGTAGTCGCTTCCATGCTATTATCGAGCTGGAGCTCGTAACTTCTGCACTCGTTGAACCGCGTCAACAAGTCGTGTTGGCGCAGTCCCGTGCAGTATATTTTAGAGGTTATAAAATATTATATGCTATTATATTTTGGTTTTAAATCTCAGTAACATATATAGCAATACAAGATTAATCATTACTACACTGCGCGACAAAATCTTTCGGACACTTACATTTTTATCTATAGCTTGGCTTCTAGAACGAGTTGAGACGTGATATTTAGATATGCTTAGCCAATTCGATAGGTCTATAGCTGGCATGTGACGCGGAGCTAGATTTCCGAGTATGTCGGTAGGCTGGCATACAAAAAACTAAAAATTGGTCTGCGACACGATTTTCGGACACACTTTTATCTTATTTTTAGTAAGGGCAAGAATGATTGTTCTAAGCGGCCATCCAATCAATCTCCTTTCTGACTTCATTTTAGTATGGGTCGCGGACCACCCATCACTGACGGAAGAGCGCGGGAGGATTAAGGGCCTCCACGAAGCAAACGTGGGGGTGAGAAAGATCGGTCGCCGCCTCAAAAAGGCGCCGGACGACGTGAGCTACGTACTGCGTACTGAAGACAAGCGCGCGGCAAAGCCTGGTAGGTCGAAGAGCCTCACCGACCACCAGATTCGGCAGGTCGTACGAGGGGCTGCCACAGGAAACTATTCGGCTGCGCAGCTGAAGGCTACGTATGGGCTAAAATGCTCTGTTCGTACCGTTCAGAGGCTGTTGTCTAAGCTAGTCTACTCAAAGATGGACAGAGCGCTCCCACTCACACAGGAGCACATGGATGCACGCTTAAAGTTCGCGGAAAGGCTTTCGTCTGCAGCCCAGAAGGAGATTGTTTGGCCTAAGATTATTTTTTCTGACGAGAAAAAATTCAATCTAGATGGACCTGATGGCTTTAAACACTATTGGAGGGTCCTGAGACGTCCTGCTCGTTGTTATTTGACGCACCAAAATGGAGGAGGGTCGCTAATGGTGTGGGGCGCGCTTGGCGCTAAGGGTAAGTCGGAATTGGTTGTTCTGGAGGGGCGCCAGAAGTCGTCGAACTACATCTACACGGTGTCTGAGTACATGCTTCCGTTTGCGCACGCTAAATACGGTACAGACTTTGTGTACATGCAAGACAATGCGTCTATTCACGCTTCCTACGAATCCATGGGATTCTTCAAAGAGCAAGGGGTGACGGTGCTCGACTGGCCTGCAAGATCCCCAGACCTGAACCCAATCGAGAACGTGTGGGCAACCCATGCAAGAATGGTGTACAGTAATGGTAAGCAGTATGGGTCTGTACCTGAGCTAACAGCTGCTGTGAAGGCTGCATGGGATTCGGTTACGATGGACGAGTTGATGAAGTTGATGGACTCGATGCCATCGCGATGCTTTGATGTAGCACGAAAGAGCGGTGATAAGACGCATTACTGATAGTTTATCGCTCAGGACAATCATTCTTGCCCTTACTAAAAATAAGATAAAAGTGTGTCCGAAAATCGTGTCGCAGACCAATTTTTAGTTTTTTGTATGCCAGCCTACCGACATACTCGGAAATCTAGCTCCGCGTCACATGCCAGCTATAGACCTATCGGATTGGCTAAACATATATAAATAGCACGTCTCAACTCGTTCTAGAAGCCAAGCTATAGAAGAAAATTTAAGTGTCCGAAAGATTTTGTCGCGCAGTGTACAGTACTATGGAATTTTGACCAATTATTGCAATAAATACATTCTCCCCACTTTGATTTATACTTAAGTTTTGTATTTCATTAAGTATTGCAGAATACTTTTTATTATTTATAAAGTATTGGAAAGAAGAAAGAGCAACTCCAGTTATTTCGAGCGTACATTAGTTATTTTGTTAATATTTTTACCAACCCCTGGTTCCTTTAGGAACCTTAGGAAAATCTCGTGACGATCTGTATACAGTATTGCAATCCAGTCGAGATTATATGTGATCGTAGACAGAAAAGCGACAGCGACGGGTGCTGAGGCATCCCAAGACACTACAAAGTCAAGTTGACGCGGCTGAGGCTACAGAGGCGCCTTGAAAGCACAAGATGATACTGAAAAGCTGATATGTGATGGCGGATTGTTTGCACTTGTTGACCCTGAGTACACGGGTAGAGATTTGACACGCAACTCTAAGGAACAAAAAGAGGCGCGTGAGATCAACTCGAGCCTGTTGGCTCTCAAAGAATGTATTCGAGTTCAGGCTCGACAAGGAGCTGGCCACATTCCGTACAGGAATTCAAAACTTACCATGCTGTTGAAGTGCTATTTGGAGACTGACAACCTCTCGTATTCAATTATGGTCACTAATGTGTCGTCAGCCGAAACGCACTTACACAAAGCCTTGGACTCGATCAGATACGCAGTAGTTGGTCGCTTCTGCATTAAAGACGACGCAGAACAAGATGACTAGTCAGCGGAAGCGAGCGGTGGGCTAACGACTGTAATTTTGACGATGTCAAGCTCCAAAAATGCTATGAAAAATGTTTTGAAGTGTCATTTATCAAATGAAAAATACTTGGTCAGCTAAACAGGATAAGAGGAAAGCCAGTCAGCGAGAATCGTAGTATTTCTGGTAAGCCTTGAGTTTTTTTCCACCTCGGGTGCGACATCATTGTGTTTCCTCTTTTAGCAATTCCCCATTTTTGGCTTAAACTAACCAAGGCGTTACTCCCAGCTACAAGTGTTACTGCGAGTAAGATGCCATAAAGGAGGCGCATGAATGAGCTTGTTAGTATTGCTGCCGGTGTCTTTGTGCTGCTGAGCGTAAATTAGAAAGTGTGGACCAAGACAAACAGGCCGTTGGTGATGATAGAGCTTCAGATAAAGTTGGTACTGTACAGTGCTTCAAAGAATTTTAACCTGGTTCGTAACCAGGTTGACACGCAGGAAATATCAAATCCAAGGATGACTTAAAAATTAAAAACGTTTTGCAATCAAATCTGGCCAAACGACGCCATTTCATGCCTTTATTTATTCGCGATAATGCGGAGTACCCTGTGCGTGCAGAGGCTGTATGAACATACTCTCTTTCTATATATTTCTCTCTCAAGTTTTTTCTAGCCACGCAGCGTCTGCGCCCGCTTCCTTGGTAGTCTTTTGTATCTTGGGGGGCGCAGTCATGTCATGTTGAAGTGTTAGCTAGGCCAGCTCAGAAATGTTGAGCTGGATGAAGCCCCCCCCCCACGTTTTGGGTGAGGTGCGGCGGGTTTGCTTGCTTCTCGAGCTGGAGAAATCTAAAATGACTGCTAACTACGAGTTGGTTACGAGCTCCGTCGTTCTGGGAGAGAGTACGAGTACGGTGAGCAGCTATTCCGCTTGAACTTGCTCTCCTGGCCCCGGAACAGCCTTCCCTCGAATACCTTCAGGAAACCGATTATCCGTGATCATACAGCAAGTAGGGGCGCAGTCATGTCATGTTGAAGTGTTAGCTAGGCCAGCTCAGGAATGTTGAGCTGGATGAAGCCCCTCCGGTGTAGCCGGGCTAACACGAAACATGACACCCTTCGTCATTCGCTGCGATAGAGACTCGGAGACTGTGTCGTTCATTCTTGTGTATATTTCAAACGCGTCTGCGGACCAACGACCAAAGAGCTTTATAGTGAGTCTGTCGGTGCCGGCTGCGAAGAGAGCCGTTGCTCCGCCACTTCTCATTGAGAGTGTTCCAAACTGGGATGGGTCAGCGCCGACTGATGCTGCAGTAGTCTTAATAGCGTCTACCAGTGCGTTGGAGGTGAGAGTTCTTCCAGGACTCGTCGAGCACAACACAGAGCTATTCTCGAAGCGTTTCGTGATCTGTACAAGCTCCCAGGTAGCCAAAACCGGACACAGTCACGTTGATCCAGACCTGTGCAGTGTTCGTGACGTTCCGGAGCCGGCTTGGTCGGTTTTACTACCCCGAAAGTGTATGGACACTGTCACAGCACACTTAAGTGACTCCTTAATAAGGCCTTCCTTGTTTAAGAACTTGACGTCGCTCGTGCGAATGATGTATGGTTTGATTCGTCTGCCGTCGGCGAGATATTCGGATTGCCTGAGCAAGAAGAAAAGGCCCATGACCGCAGCCCCCCCCCCAGAGCACGCAATCGTGGGTTGTTTTGAAGTTGCAGCGTGAGCGAAGTTCTTGGAGGATTTTGCGCGTGACTGGTTGTTTTTGTCTTGACGGTGGAGACATTCTTTGCATCCCGCGCACAGCCAACTTGTTTCCTGCGTGGAGGCCAACCGAGTAACCTCGTTCTCGCATATGATACCACGAGATATGGCTAATGGCGGACAGCACGGTGTTCGTGGATAGTGGTTTTCCTTTCGTTGTCGTGGTTGAGTACCAGTAGTGGATAACAAATAGGGCAAGCTGTAGCGAATGTTGTTGCGCATCTGAGGGTAGCCACTTGTCGAAACCGTGGGGGGAGGACCACTCTGACCATCGTTTCCACGTGGATGCGTACTTCGGTCTTGATCCCGGGGCCAATGCTTGCGATTGAAGTTGTTTGAGAAGGTCTTGTAGATTTTGCGGAGACTGGGCGGAACGGGGATCGGCCGCCATTCAAAGGAAAGGTTAGACCAGATTTTATCATGAGGTGGGGACCAAGCACGTGACCCAGCATCCGCCATAATGTTGATTGAACCCGGGAGGTGACCGCAGCTCATACGAAAGCCGAAGAGAGCCTCTGCTAGCCCAATCGCACGATTCACTTCTTGACCCATTTGATTAGAGCTCGCTAGCTTGTTGGTCCAAGATACTGCTGACGTGTTGTCGGACCATGCTTTGACAAGAACCGCTGGCGATGTTTCGTTAATAGACCACGTCGGGCCGAATATTTACGAAGCAAGAGCTATACACAGCTGCTCTCTGACGTTAATGTTGAATCCGTCACTGCCTGTCGATGTGTGGACAGGGCTTTCTCTTCTTGATCGAACTGAAGTTGAATGTACTGTTTGTTAACAGGGCTTAGTACTGCGAGGGCGTAGTTGCTAACGTCCATGTACAGATGAACATCCACTGGTTGGTCGTTGGTGAAAATGGCAAGAGGTAGGTTTTGGAGACGACCTTCGCTCAGGATTGCCTCAAACCACAACAGATCTTGAAAACTGTGATCATCGACTGCTACCTTGCCGTATCGGGGTGTTCGAGTGCACTTACTTTGAAGGCGTTGGTAAAATGGTTTTGCCGCTGTTAAGCACGAGCAGACGTGCCGTAGACTGCCGCGAAGTTGCTGCAATTGGGGTCGTGTGGTATACTGCTGGCGTTGCATCGTTTTAACCCGTTCGAGCGCTTTTGCTATCTTGTCGTGTGGCATCGAAATGGTACAAGCAGCTGTGTCAAATTCCAATCCGAGGACTTGAAGTTTTGTCTCCCACGCCGAGAACTTTTCTTCGTTGATCGAACCGGGTCCGAGAACTGCCAACAGCGAGAGTCGAAGTGCTTCATTTGCAAGGTGCAGTCGGTTTCCAATGTGTGGCTCGACGAGAACGTGATCGGCCACCCACTCATACACAAAGAATGGTTCGTTATCACCAGAACTTGGGTCCAACGAATTTGGGGATTAACGACTGACTAGCCACGTAATAGCTACCCCGAAAGCTCCATAGAATGCTGGAGAGCTTGTCCACCCAAAAGGAGCTGACATGTCGATGATGAGAACTTCCAAACTTGGGATCGTGGCTGCCATCTACCGAACATGACCACTAGCTACCATGAGGTTTCGAAACGCGCTTTTAACGTCACCTTTCATAATTTTGACCACTGCATCCTTGTGTTTGATACGGCACGCCACGATTCTTCGAGCCACTGCTGAAACGTGCTTGTACTCGATTTCTGGAGCTGAATTGGACGTTGACATGTCATTAGTGGAGCTACCCCGGGGAAAGGAGAGGTCATGAATCAGGCGAATGTCCTCCTTTGGATCGCAATTTTTCTTGGTCACTGCACCAAGGGGGCTCACTTGGATATTTTTCCAACGTTCCAGCACAGCGATGTCCAGAATCAGATACTGACCCTCGTCTTGGCCCTTACGGAGTGCTTTTATCACTCCATTCAGGTGGCGTGAAGCGGAGCCGTGGGTTTTTACTGGTCGTGGGCGGGGTGGGTTATCGGTTCGCCACAATGGTTGAATGCCCTCACGTGCAATCTTGATCAGTAGATCTTTATATTTGTAGCCATCAAGCAGCTTGCCGAGCCGTGAGGGGCACAACGCTTTGTTCGGCCGATAATCGCTCCTGGTTTTGTCCGCGCACTATTTCGACGATGTTGTGAAGACTCATTCCGTGATCCAGCTTTACCACCCGCTGATTCTCTTTGTTGAGTTGCCATTGCCGCTTATTGTTTCGTACTGGGGAGTTAGCTGGTGGTGAAATGCCTAATCCTGCGCACGTTTTGTTGAACATTTAGAGGCGTTGGCAGTCAATCGTTTTGATAGCTGGTCGCGTACAACCTGGGAACGTGGTCGTGGGGTTGGAGTACTGACTATTGGGTGGAACATGTCGGTCACGGCCACTACAGCACTCACCGATGCAACCTGTGCTGAGGTTCCGATCTCGGCCAGCCACGCTTGAGTCGTCGACGGCACTGGTATGACCTGCGTCGGACTGCTCGATTGTCTTTCTGTGCAGTGGCTCGAACTGAGCCACGTCGACCGAACTGGTACAACCTGCGAGGGTCTGCCGACGGAGTGTTTTGAGCAGTGGACCAGTGGACAACAAGTCGTCCGATCTGGAACAGATTGAGAATCCGAAATTCCACGTGGATTGGCTGTTTTCCTTGAGCACGTCGTATTTCCTGGTGCCTACACCTGACGACTGTTGATAAGAACGATGCGCAGGCGAATTTGATGATGCGACTACCGTCTGACTGTCCGAGCTAATTTGTCCAGGGAGCGAAGGACCATCACCTCCTGGACTCCTTCACTTGTAGTTGCTGTGAACACCACCAAACATTCGGCGAAGATAGTTGCGCAGTTGGTCGGAAATGGCCGCTGGGTAGAAGTGCGCTCTACTGGCAAAGATACACACGTTCTGATCGCCGGACGGGCACCCTTTCTTTGAGATGAACTTAAAGCAGACTTCTTTTCCATCCTGTTGAGGAAGTAGGGGGTAGTTGTCGCTTGGCTCCTTTTTCGTGCTGTTGGCCGTGTTGCGTTGGCTGCCTCATTGGCGCGAAGTATTTGACATTTGAGTCGCGTGGTTCCCCGAGGATTGTCGAATCGCGTCGAATTGATTCCTCTGCTCAGCAAGTAATAGTCCATGGAGTTCGACATTGTTGGATGTGAACTGTGCTGGAATCATGAATCGTGTTGATGACGCAGCGTCGATGTCTCTGATCACTGCGCTGCGATACCGTTCAAGCTGGGCGTCAATCCACAGCACCAGCGTTAGCAGCATGCTATGTGGCCATAATTGACGGGCTTTAAGCTCCACGACAAAGTTGTAGAGGGTGGTTCCGAGATGTTGCGTCAATGGATCCAAATGTGCGATACAGTATTGTTAAAATCCATTTGCGCCAGCAAGAACGTCTTCCCATGAGGAAGGATCTGGAGCAGCCGAGAACTTTGCTGACACTGAAAAATCGCTCATGTTGATAAAGCTGTCGCGCTGTCGTCGGAGTCGCAGCATTTGGTTTACTGGGGAGAAGCGAAGGAATAAAAAAGACCGCGGCTTCCGAATTTAGGTCGTATGCCCGGGTAGCTACCCCAGGGTAGGCCCACAGGTCACTGCTTGATACCAACGATTCCACAAATTCTGAAGGGGACTTACCTCTGTGCGCTTCGGCTGTGACCGTCTTATGTACCCGCCGTTGTTCAGCTGAGGGGTGGAAGCTGAATTTGTTCCTCTTCGTCACTGAGCCGTCGATGTCCACGGCTGCCGGCCGTTTTAAAGACGAATCTGGATTTGGTTGGGTCGAAAGGTGGTATGGTAGTAAGTGGGGCTTGTGCATGCGGATCAAGGCGCGTATTTCTTCCTCTGCTGTAGACGCATCAGCTAGTCGGGTGGCAATGTGTGAGTTGGCTGGGAACGCGTCGCCTGTAGTAGCATGAGGCCGCGACGACTGTTGCCGAGGGTGCTGCAAACGGTTTCGAGGGGTAACACGTGGCGGATGGCTACTGTCAGATTCTCCTGAGAGCACGGTTTGTGCGAGCAGAGTCTCCTCATGGGCTTCTTCTTCATTGTCGTCGACGCGTAGGATATCAAAGAATCCGGACGAATTGGACGGGTTGGTTTGTGCCGCACCTAGATTCGGAGCTGGTACGTTTTCAGTAGCTTTACTGTCTCCCACCGAATCGCAGAAGGATGATCCGAACGAGACCTTCACGTGACTGGGTACTGGTTTGCCTCCATCCACGAAGTAAACGAAGTTTACCACGTGTTGCACAGAGACTTGAGTTCATTCGCCTGTATGCGAGTCGATCCACTTGGCTACTCATTCCAAACCCGGGGATACATCAGGAAGGAGGCTTTGCATGAGTTGTGCCAGTGTTAACGCGTTCTGAGGGGCCTCAGATGTCGGAGGGGACATGAGCCTTTCCATGAGGGCATCGTGGATGCCCGTCAGTTGCTCGTAGTTCAAGGTCTCTTCTTCGAGCTGGTGACAGCCCATTACCAGTGCCACGACTGGGCATACGGTGTCGCAGATAGCATCGCGGGTGCCTTCTATCGGTCCAGATAGGGTGCAGATTGTAAGACGGTTGTCCGAGTAGCCAGTCACTTGACCGTAACGGAAGCGACCGTCGCTCTTCACACATACAGCTTGTCTTATCCACGTCCCTAGTCATTGTCCTTCCGCATCACTTCGGTCCACCTTTCTTGCCAGCGCCTTGGTCCTCGGAATATTCACCAGTTTCTCTTTGTCGTCATTGTCACCGTCCAAGATGACAGTTGCTGTATCCCCACAAGAACGTTTTACCATGGCATACGCTGGTGTGTCGATGGCGCCCTCAACGTCTTCGGGAAAAAGGAGAAGGTAGGAGCCGCGTGGAAGTGTTGGGGCAGGCATGGCGAAGGCAGGCGTTTCCGGTTTTGGTTGTTGAGTTTGCTTGCTTCTCGAGCTGGAGAAATCTAAAATGACTGCTAACTACGAGTTGGTTACGAGCTCCGTTGTTCTGGGAGAGAGTACGAGGACGGTGAACAGCTATTCCGCTTGAACTTGCTCTCCTGACCCCGGAAAAACAGCCTTCCCTCGAATACCTTCAGGAAACCGACCATTTTCAGCTTGTTTCTTGGCCTCCTTCGCTGCGTGGACATGATTCAACTTCTTTGCAGCATCTAGATTCACAGGGAATCTTAAAAGGCTCTTTCTTCGGCGATCTTATCTTCATCATATTCGATCCGGGGTAGTAGCCTGCCGTTATCGTTTGGGTCTCGTGCGACTGCTTGAGTAAAATAACTATATTCAACCATTGCCTTCGCATCCGTGGCCAGTTATAGCGCGTTGCTGGTGTGAAATACAGTCAGAATCACCACTGCGGAAATGTTGTTGAAATGTATGTGTGTTGAAAATCTTGATATACGACTTGTTGGCTGCTTAGAAAATTTTAAAATTAATAAAACTCCGTAACCGTACACGTGCGATACGAAACTGTGCGAATGGGTTCGTGTACATGCACGCATGTGCTGTGCCTTTATTTGAAAGCATTCTTATATGTTGTGAGTAAGGACTGCCTACGATTGGTCGTGAAAGCTGCAAATGTCGTGTCAGCGAAAGCCACAAAAATGCCTTATTGTGAGGATACAAAACTGATTCAAACCTGATGAAGGGAGGAGTACAACTGATAAGGCTTTGCATCTGTTATTGTACCCGAGGATAGTTACTAAAACTCTACTTTAGATTAGGTATTGTACAAATGCTTACGACTGTTTCTAAACAGCACTGTCAAATTGATGAAGTGGAGAGACAACGTTGCCGTACTACAATTTATAAAAGTACTCGTAATATGCGGTTCGTATTAAGAGCCTGGTCTATTCTTGTCGTAACGAGGTAATTTACGAAGACCGGCTCGAATGAAGTGTCCAGGGTCGATAATTAGTTTATAGGCTTCGGTGAGCGCGCGTGCATCCATTGGTGTCGAGTAATATGATGAAAGTATATCCATTGAGGACAACTAGAAAAGCTCTATGGACATCCTCAATTCGTTCGCAAAAAAGATTGCTTAGTGACACGCACAGCAGCATACTGAGGCTACGCGAAACTTTAACGCCACCTTCTAGGGTGATTTCTAGTAGCAGGAAAACTTGGCATCAAAACGCAGTGAGTTTTGTTTGCAGGCTTACCTAATACTAAACAGCTACCGGACGAAAAAGATCGACTACACTGCTCCGCGTGAACTTTTTTAGGCCATCCAAATTCTTTGAGCTTTTATTTTTTATGGGAATTCAAATGGTGCAACTATAAATCACGTTCGTTTTATTCTCAAAAGTCTTTAACGAATCAATGCAATTTATTGGTCCAAATCAAATAATCATAGGAAACAAACTTATACCACCTACCGTCTTACGCCGCACAAAGCGCCTAGACGTACTAAAACTATGATGTGGTTTAGAACAGCGTGTCACCTCGATTACAACGTAAAGTAGATGGGGTTCTGGCCTACTTTTGCAAGCGAGATTACAAGGACACACCGCGGGAAGGGTTCTATTAAATTAATGAACTCTAAGCCAATGTTGTTAGAGCGACTCTAATGCATGTAGAAATCTACTCTCCACCAATTCATTTTGATGTTGACAGAACTGATCATATCTAAAATTTTAAGGCACAAAACGCTTGTTCTTACTCAGGTCTACGCGGCACTTTTTACCGCAAGTGATGAATTGATAAAATCAGACATCAATCGTATTTACTGTACAAGGTGAATCTGATCTGTAAGCAATTATGTGAGTGCGTGTAAGTTTCATTTCTCCTACTTGCTTTGACGCTGAGAAATTGGCTACAGCTCTATTACAGTCTGATGAATCTCAGAGAGTACAGCTCCTACTGGGTTACCCGCAAACCAGGCAGTTCTGTCTGGAGATCCTCCTTGTTCTGTAAATTTTTCCGCTCTTATACCATTGCAAACACACATCATTTCACCAGAAATACCAGTTTCTTTTATTTTGCAGCTGCTTAATACAAAATACACTGTAAGGATCGATTCTGATTCGCAAATCACCTTTTTCTGCTCTTTATTCTTCTTTTCTTCACTTAATTTCAAAAATGACCGAAATATGGGGTTTAGGAGATTTGTCAATGCCCCTTTCATCATGAAGTTTTTAAAACACAGATACATAAAACTAATTTTCATCCAACAGATTCAAGGACGCGATAGTACATATATGATTATATATTCGTACCTAAGTGGATTATTTCTCAAAACTAGATTTTTTAGCGTAAATTAAGACCATAAACAAGACATCCAAATTTAATTATCCCAATTTTACATTTTAATTACTAGAAATACTTGAAAATACTAAGCTAAACGGAAATAACTACAAAATGCCAAACTGTTAATCATCTGAGCAAGATTATCCGATTCGTCTCTTAAAGCCACAATGGTCATTCCGATAGTGCTTCGACAAGGAATTTGACCGAGCCTGAGAAATCGGTCTTTGTCTTGGTACCTGTGGTCGGTTGGGCAGTGTTAACTTTTCCGTAGCTCACAAAGCTCTAAACGCAGAAGATGTAGCCGCATCGATTTCCAGGAGCACCACGTGGTCTCCACGCAGGGGTTAATGGTAACTCCGAAATCGGTGAAGTTAATATTGTGAAAATATCACCTGTAATACAAAAACACCTAATATTTTCTTCTGACACAAAATGATATTATTAAATATCAGCTTAATAGCAAAATGGCGCAGAAGTACAGTAGTGGTTTGTGCAAAGAACAGTACCTCTTAAAAGGCGCATTATTCGCCCTTTAAAGTAGGTTCAACTATCTATTGCGATATACAGTAGAATTTACAGTATATTTTTCACACTTAAGTACGTTTCTTGCCGCTGTGAGCCGCCAAGAACTCTTTCGGTCAGGTCCTTGATCAGCTGCTGAACCAAATAGCAGCTCATGTTGGACGCGCGCTGAAGCAGATGCTGGTTTTCGCGCTCATTGACAGGAACTGCAGCGATTCTCTCGCACAGCTCAGCTCGATCCACCTTCTTCCTACCACATGCGCTCTTCCTTGACTTGACCACGGCTGCTACTCGATCTCCCATCGAGTTGATTCCACGCCTCCAAATTCGTTCGACAACTTGGCGGCCCACACGGAAGTACGCTGCAACCCGAAAGATCTTCTCCCACGCTGCGAAGCAGTAAGGTCTCCCAGACGGCCTGGCGCTCACTGTCTGTGATGTCCCCCAGGTGCCAGCTTTCAAAATGAAAGGTGGGAGCGGGAGCCAGTCTGGTCGGGAAAGCGCGGGATATTCGAAATCCAAAATGTGATCGGCATAGAGGGGGTATTTTGTTGAGTAGGCTGTAATATACTACAGTAGTAATTTGAAATGGTTATCTGTAGTAATTTGAAATGGTTATCTTTTTCAGAGCGGAGGTAGTACATGTAGCAACAACATTTTCATCCGACAGATTCTAAGACGCTATATTTTCTAACCGTTCGGAAAAAGATACTACAGTAGTAAAACATAATCTCTGTTATTAGAAAATATCGCGTCTTAGAATACGTTACCGCATCAAAGGGCACGGCTCATGCTGCTTCAAGAAATGAAGCCCTCCAAAATATTTTTTATTCTAGGACAACTTAAATGATGTTAATACGGTACTGTGAATACAGTAGTCTTTGTTTGTGCTTTTTTTCTTCTCTGTACCCTTGAAGCGTCAGAGCATGCGGTAGCGTAGGCTCTATGTATTTGACCAGGTTTGCAACCTGCTTGAAAAGTGTGATGGGCAGAAATGCAAGTCGTGGGAAAAGTGGCTTTTTCTTGCAAATCGCCAAATGCCGTAGCCTAAAATTACAAATGGTGTGTCTCCTCCACACAGCCTTAAATTAGATCTCACAAGAACGGGCCATTTGCACGATGGTTGGTAAAACTGGTAACTTGGCCGGGAAATGGTGTAGAACAGCAAAGACTGACGAGTATTGGCTCTAGTATTTGACTGTGACGTAGACAAAGGCGATCGAGATGGAAAACGGCAAACGCCTGCAGCTATTTATGTCGATAGAGCGAAACCAAGGTATTTGCTCTTGTTCTCTACCGTACACGTGCGATACGAAGATGTGCGAATGGGTTCGTGTACATGCACGCATGTGCTTGTACTTATTTGAAAGCGTCCATATATAAAGCCACAAAAACGCCTTATTGTGAAGATACAAAACTGATTCAAACCTGCTGAAGGGAGGAGTACAACTGATACTGTGTTTGTAGACACCTTATACGTGCCAAGCAAAGTGCGAATTGGCTACATAATAAAACAAAAAGGAGTATTATTTAGTTTTATTAGCGATTAAAAAATGTGGGGGGGGGGCATGGGACATCTCACCACACACCTGTGGTCTCATGTACTGGTACTTGTCACCATCCCACCGAATTAATTCTTGTTGGGGTCCCATAGAGCACTTAAGTGCTCGCTATCCCTATATAAAAACTAGGTTTTACGCTGATAATCGAAAATCATGTAAATTAACTACGAAATTTTCGTAACCAAGATTGGGTCACTTACCCGAATGCTAGCGTTGAATGCTGGTACTGGATAGTTGCCATGCGACTAGATACGCTGCATTCACAGTCAGCTCTTAGGTTAGAATTTCGGACACATCATTATCTGCCCCCCCCCTAAAATATAAGCGGAACGTCATCAGACTTTTGAGATCTCGTCATCAAAAATGCTCATTTCATAGCTAGTGTAAAAGGGTGATTGCGAAAATGATCATGCCAGAGTAAATATCCTCAGAGAGAGGGAGCACCGTTCGGGGATCTGTGTATACAGTAGCAACTAAACATTTGTAAAGACGAAAAAGGAGGTGATAAACGCACCTCACTTTCGAAAACACCGGCAGCTCTGCAGACCTTCTGAGCCCCAAAAAAAAATGAAGTTCATCAACGCGTTCGTGATAAGCCTCGCTTTAATTTTCTCCACCCGTGCTAGCGCGATTGATCACGATAAAGTGCAGCCTTTCGCTCAGCCCGACCCAGTCACCATCTCCGAAAAGGCTGCTGTCAAGTTCAAGCCACAACTTCACATCGACAGAGGTTGTGTTTCCTTTCCGGTTGTAAATGCTGCTGGTGAAATCTCCGGAGGACTCAAGGGAACAAAAGGAACGGACGGGTGTAGGGAATCACCGCTAGGCTCTCAAACGTATAGTCGATCGGCATGGTACCAGGACAGGTGGGCCATTGTGTTTGCTTGGTACTTCCCGAAAGGTTTTGCCGCTGGTCAACCGCGAATCCGCCACTACTGGTCGAGTATGGTTCTTTGGATCGACAATCCAGCATTAGATACGCCGACGATTCTTGGAGTGTCACTGTCGCAGCAGCTTCTTAAGCCTGCAAAATTTCTCATTGGTCTTTTTACGGCGGAGCTGCAAGAGCCCTATAACAAGCAAACCAGCATTCCTCCTGCGGGCTTTGTGGGGGCCCAGGCAACTGTTGTGAGTCAAATTAATGGATGGAGTAATCCATCCAATTACAGTGGTGGCTCGAATGTTTCGATTAGAGTTTCCCATACATACACGAACAAGGATGACTGGCTGGCACTTACCTTTGCCACCCAAGACGGTGAATACCACGACCTCGTCACGTGGGACCAACTGACGGAAGAAGCGCGCGCAGCTCTCAATTCAGCGGATTTTGGCGAGTCGAAGGTCCCCTTCAGCGATCAGAACTTTCAAAGGACGTTGGAGCTTTCGTGGCTGTTTTAGAGCTACAGCAGCGAATCCGCAGCATATGGCCAAGACTGTGAGTAAAAAATGGTTTATTGTTCGGTCCCGATCGGTTCAATAAGTACTAGTAGTAATATCAATACTTATACTAGGTACTACCTCCGTTCTGAAAAAGATAACCATTTCAAATTACTACAGATATCCATTTCAAATTACTACTGTAGTATATTACAGCCTACTCAACAAAATACCCCCTCTATGCCGATCACATTTTGGATTTCGAATTTCCCGCGCTCTCCCGACCCCGCTCCCAGCTTTCATTTTGACCTGGGGGAGATCACAGACAGTGAGCGCCAGGCCGTCTAGGAGACCTTACTGCTTCGCAGCGTGGGAGAAGATCGTTCGGGTTGCAGCGTACTTCCGTGTGGGCCGCCAAGCTGTCGAACGAATTTGGAGGCGTGGAATCAACTCGATGGGAGATCGAGTAGCAGCCGTGGTCAAGTCAAGGAAGAGCGCATTGGTAGGAAGAAGGTGGATCGAGCTGAGCTGTGCGAGAGAATCGCTGCAGTTCCTGTCAATGAGCGCGAAAACCAGCATCTGCTTCAGCGCGCGTCCAACATGAGCTGCTATTTGGTTCAGCAGCTGATCAAGGAAGGCTACATACGGCGTGCGCTCAGACAGACCCACGCACAAGTTGGCGCGCCTCCGACACAAGGACAAGCAAGTACGAGCTGGCACTCTCCCTACGTCACTGCCTTGTGACGCTATCTCACTCGCCAATGCTAACGCGTACATGCTGTTTCTTGCAGCGAGCAGCCCCCCACCGCCTACCGCTGAAGTTCCAGAAGCCCCACTGAGCGCCCCTTCAGAATGTGGCGATGTAGTTGCCGTCTTAGATCCGTTTTTGTATCTGTAGTTGCACGGCGGAGCATGAACGCCTGTGCCTTGCTTAGTTTCTCACTGTCAGCTCTCGGTCATAAAGCTAGCTAGCCAGCCTCTCACAAATTAATAAACGCTCAAATGAACGAGGCGGAGCGCTGCGCAAAAAAAAACAAATGGTTATCTTTTTCCGAGCGGAGGTAGTAAGTACGATCTGGCCTTACAGGAATTTGTATTCAAGGAAGAATTCGACAAGAGTAGAATGAATCCAATCTTAATTGACAACATGAGAAATAACTTCCACAGTAGGAGTAAGACCTTCAGTGCTATCCACCAGTAAGTTTACCCGAAAATATAAACTGCGAGTGGCGACAGAAACCGAATATTATTATTAATGCACTGCTTAGAAATACACGAGACTGCGTCTATACTCGGGGAGGAGGGGGGGGGGGGTAAATTTGACTTGTTTCACGGAACTGGTGGGAATGCGCTTAGAGAAAGAAACCCATCAGTCGCCGAATCGAGATCAAACTGTCGGTTGTTTTCGTAGCACTAGCTGTGCAAGTGTTTCCGCCGACACCAACTCCGACGTTAGCATCAGCACAATTCAGGTCCTGTCCCGCAGGTCAAATTCCAGCGGATTGGGGCAATTCCAGCGGAATTTTACCATGCAGCGGATCGCTCAAAGCTATGCATGTTCCGAATGCGGATTCGAGAGCAACTCGATTTGAAATCTTCTATCCTCTATCCGCCCAAATTTGGTCAGATAGAGTTTTGTTTTAGCGAGTGGACTGACAAAGCCCTGTAACAGCTAATATGATTTGCGTTGAATTGCTTCGCAGACTCTTAAACATTGTGTACGGTAATTCTGCCACATCATCGATGCTATTTCATCTCGAAGTTTCTTCATATTTCTGTCGTCCGTTTCGTACGTATGTGCGTCCCCTGCGTCTTCTAGTTCGTCGTTTACGTTTTCGATTTCCCTGGTGGGCCCGTCTGAGTCTGAACGTTCATCGCCATGGCGACGAATGAAGTTGGAAATCGCGAACGCGGCCTGTATTACGCCTATCGGGTCTGCAAGCGCATAAGATGTCACGTGCAGTAGAACGGGAAACTTAAGTTTGATAGCTCCGTACGCTCTTTCGATAACGTTTCTTAGCGATGAATGACGCAGATTATACAACCCCTCTTTTGTCTGTGGGTTTTGCTGACCATCATCGAACTCTTTAAGATGATAGCGCGTTCCTCTGTGGTGTGGTTGGGCAGCGCGTAGCCAGCATCTCCTAAGTGTATTTACCTACACAGGTCGCATCAATAGGAAAATCATGTAAAGTTTTCCATGACAAGTGAGGTTACGTACCTTTTGACATGTGAAAATTATGACCAACAGCATCGTTTAGTACTCGACCGTCATGTGCAGACCCTTCCCAGCCAGGGAGGATATACACAAATTACATTGCAAAGGTACACGCCCCAAGCACGTTACTGGAGTGAAAACCTTTTTTCTGTTTCTAAGCCGCGGAGCAATTGAAGCATGAGGAGCCACTGGGATGTGAGTTCCATCTCAGCCCCTAAAACGTTTTGAAGTAGGAGAAGAACTTAACGGATTGCTAAATCTCGACGGGGGTTGTACTGTTGGTGATACAAACAAATCTATCCCATCGAGCTTTGATTGCTGCTAAACACTGCCGAACAATCCTGCCTTTTGTCGCTAGTCCATGTTGAAATCGATAGTGTGCTGTTCAATTACGTTTTCCGGTAAGTATGAACAGGAAAAATAGTCAGCGCTCTCCGCTGTGAATTCTAGCCGTTAATGGTAGCAATCGCGTAGTTTCTGATTCACCAAGTAGCAATGAAAAGTTTATACACTCACGAGCGACATTCGAGAAACGTATCAGACTTCGACTGTTTAACAGCTCCTCGTAGTACATAGCTCCGCTTAATATCGATGTACAGCAACCCTCTTTTGCAAAAGGATCTCGAATATACGACCCGTACGATGTTAGCCCTGTCATAACGAGCACAATATGATCTTCTTCTTCGTCATCCGATGTGTTGCCTTCCTCATTAGATGCGTCCATAGCACATCAGAGAATGGTCCGAAAAGCATTCTGGATGAAATTAACGACATCCTAAGCTGGTAATAGAATATAAATATAGGTATTACACCCACAATATTATATTTGCGTTAAAACTAAAAAATATCCAAGATCACAACCATCGTTTTTTTGAAAGGGCCTACGATTTATTGCTGGACTCGTTTCAGTTGTCGAAACCCAACACAGCGTCAGCTTCATCCAAACCCAACACAGCTCCAGCATCATCAGCTTTGCGAACCATGAACTTTGGCTGGACTCAAGCCCTTACAGCTCGCTTCACCAATGCATTTATAGATGAAGTCGTGCGGCTTGGTGATTTAAACGGTGCAAATTTCAAGAAAGCGAATTGGAATCGCATAGTCAGAGCATTCAACGATGAGCTATTGACCAGCCAGACACGAGATCGAAAGCCACGGCAGAGTAAGATTGCAGAGTTGAAAAATAAATACGGGACATACGCTGCAATGAAGGCAAACAGTGGGTTCGGGTGGGGTCCCACCACAGGGATGTCTACGGTTCCAGATTCTGTGTGGGACGAAGTAATCGCTGTGTACCCTCAAGCAAAAGAATTTAAAAGCAGACCTCTCTTTATGTACCACGAACTGGACATAATTATGTCTCGCACCGCTGCAACCGGTGCATTCGCTGTTTACGATGAGCATATTATAAGCCTTGCACTGCCGGCACCGTCGTCTCTGAGTGGATAAAGGAGCGACCCCGGCGATGAAGGTTCGACTGACGATATCAGTGCAGCAGAACGAGAGGCACGCAATGTCGAGCAGCGATACTGATCTCAGAACATATCAGGGCTCAATCGCAATTCCGATAACGACAGTGGAGGGTCAAAAACAGCTGAAAGAAGTCGACCATCTGCCGTCAAAGTACATATACCGTGTCGATTGTTGGACCTTCACCCAAACGACCACTGGTTAAAAAATGAGCGATTCGATGAGAGCTGTGGCTGATGCGCAGGAAGTGATTGCGGCCTCTATCAGTACTCGACACAACAAAAGCCGACAGCTTACCTGCGCGGACGAAGCAATTAAAATCTTTAAGGATATGTTCACAAACGAAGTCCCAGCTTCAGGTTTATAAAGCTACTAGCAGCTCAACCGAACGCGGCAACCATATTTTATGGGATGGACGACGAAAGCCGCCGATATATGGTAGAGTAGTACCTGCTGACGGACAATTCAGATTCAGATTGAATCTGAGATCGCTTCTACTATTTTGCTCATTACGTTTTCTAATAAACTATTTTCTTTTATAATTTCACATATCATATTACAGATTTTTGTTACGCTCCAAATAGATTAAAATCTGGGTGTTCCGCATGCGGTTCCAGCGGATTCTCCGAAACAGCGGAAGGTATCAACCCAGAGGAAAAACAAATCCGCTGTTCACTTCTAGAGGGTTTGCGGAACAGGGCCTCAAAATGCCAATACTACGGCGGATTGCATATGCACCTCGTAGGTCGAGATGCTACTGTAACATGCAATAGTAATTATCGCTTTTGCGTTGGTCCCAGCTGAAGGCAAATGGAGAAAAAGGAAGTCGACATTCTTCTTTGCGATATAAGTAAAGCAATAATGTCCGTGTCGACTTAGTGCGGGCTTGACGCCAAATACCGCACAGTTCATAGTGCCCGAGACTTCCAGCGACAAGCAACCGACCAAAGTGCTAGTTTGGCAGCTGCAAGCGCATACCAGGCGACCGGAGCGATCGCTGGCTCACGCCTGGTTTATAAATGCTTATAAGCTGACACATGCGGCATGTCCTATAACATTTGTTCGCCATTTCAAGTAGGGTGGTCTACATTGATACTGGCGAATACTGCTGATTTAATTTTCGCATCCGGTAATACTCTGTCACCATCCGCTTATACGAAGAATTGGGACTGTAAATTCCTCCTACAGACGCACACGCAGAGTGGGAAGAATCAACACAGACACGGGGCGGCAAAGGCCACATTAAGGTAGTAGCTGTATTCTTATGACTGCAAGTTTTCAGCAAATTTTCTCGACTAAGGAAATTTTTCTCTCTCCTTTCTTTTGTCTTACAAGTGCTTCACTAAGTACAGTTCAACACAAACCGCAACACGAAGTACTAATCCTGTCAATTAAAAGATTGAATCTATACTACTTTGTCAAATTCCCAATCTATAAACATCTCTCTGAAATTTATTAGAGAGCTAACTACATGATCTGTGAAACGAATCCCATATCAATTCGATTCAAGTCAAATGGTTATTGTATTGCTCACTTTTCCTTTTCAAGTGTTTATTTTTAAACGTGCACCTTAGAAAAGACATTATGATAATACAAAAAGGCCTACACTTCCGGTGCCGAGAGGGCTGAATGGTGTCTTCTTGCGGTCCCTGTGATATGAACACCTCGAATCTCGAGGTCTGGTGTTCTTTGCCTTGGAAGATTGCGGTGGTCCAAGTGATGAAGCTTCAGCGGCTTTGTGGACCCAGTCGAGAAGTTTGCCCTTGACGGAAGCATCGGTGGAGGTGGGGGTTGCTCATCAAGCTAAGAAGCACCGGGAGAATCTAAACGTTAGTCAATGATAAACAACAAATAATAGTCAAGGCACAGCTTACCCGTATCAAAGGAGAAGCTACTTGGTTACGGAATCGATCAGCTTCTTTGCGCTTTCGGCGTGAATTGTTAGTTTGCCATACTGACGCCTTCGCCTTTCGAGTTTGCGGAGCTGGTGGTGGTGATACTTCCACGATTTTGTTCACAATTGGCGCAGGAGGAGGGAGAACACTCGTCTGTGTCGACTGAACTATTGAAGTGGCTGGAATTTGCTGTCCAGCTATCGTTTCTTGGCAGTTCGATGCTGTTACCACACCTTGTGTAGATTGCTGATGCAGTGGAGAGTCTATCTTTCGCAACTCCGTGCTAGTGAGTACCATAAGCCAAGGAGATTGATGCACTTCCGTTATGTTTATCCGTGATTTAGGATCTTTTTGTAACATCCTGGCGACTAGATCTCTAACTTCCAAGGACACGAGACCCGTATCCAAAGGATCATAGTCGCCTTGCGTAATTCGGAATACAACAGCGGGGTACGATGGAGCATTGAATGCAGCTTTCCCTCCCGAGAGCATCTCGTACAGTACACAGCCAAGAGACCAGATGTCGGTAGCAAAGCCATGAGACTCGTCTTCTAACAGCTCTGGACTCATGTAAAGCGGAGATCCGACCACTGTAGACGTCAATCCTTGAGCTTCCAACGCTTGATCTGGTTCGGTCGTTTGAAGCAGCTTTGAAGTTCCAAAATCTCCCAGAACAACTCGTCCAGATTTAAAGAGAAACACGTTGCTACTCTTCAGATCTCGATGAATCACTCGATTTCTATGCAGATGACTGACGCCTTGTACAAGTTGAAGGAAGATTCGACGAACGTCTTCTTCTTTAACCTGAGAAAGCCGAAGATACTGTTCCAGATCTCCACCATCTGCGTGTTCAAGAACGAGAGCGAGAACTTGCTGGTTCCCTTCAGGACTTTGTACCCAAAAGGCTTCACGGAATCCCACGATGTTGGGATGTTCTGGAAGTTGATACAACAGCTCTACTTCGGTAAGACATCTCATTCTACTCATAGTAGCATAGACGTTAAGTAGTTTTAGTTTCTGATCTCTTCGTAGACATCTTACCGTTCAGCGGAGAGCAGGAAAGTCAGATCCATTTCTTTTACACAGACATGATCTTCACTCTCAACATGTTCACAGAGAAACACCTAAAACTCAGTCGACGACGGTAAGAAAAAGTATTTGATCGAAAAATTATACCAATATTTTATTTTAGTGCTTACATCTCCGTAGGTGCCCCGACCAATGTGTGCCAGTTGTTTGTATCCATCCCGTGACTTCGTGGGGAGGTCGAGCGTTGCCATCGAGCTGGAGAAATGCAATTTGAACGATATCTTTATTCCTTGCTATTTATGGTAGACGAAGGAAATTTAACTCCATCGTAACGCCTCTCCACCGGAGTGGAAACACTTGATAGTACCTTCCAGAATCTTGTACGGAATCGCGGTCGGGTCTTCGTCGACTGCGCTAGCACTGAATCCTTGGCTCTGACGGTGGACGGACAGCTAAACGATCACAGAGCGAAGAGATTAAATAGTTAGAGGGAGCCTCTAGAACATGCTGTACAAACTACATACCGTTCCGTGGATGTCCTTGGAGTAGCCTGTACTCAAAGGCTTCGTCGCTAAGACCACAGTCGCCATATCGGCAAGTGCGAGACTCTACGTCAACACATAAGTTAATGTACCATTTAGTTATAACCAACTGCATCCAAAACTTACCAATGGTCTTGATGCTGGAACATCCGTGTCGGCGTGGGTCAGTAACACTACATTTGTAGCTCCCTAAACAACACTCTTTCAGTACATATTTACAATGCCATACACTATAAGCACTTACGTTTTTCGGGTGAGTTAGAGTCTTGCAGCATCGCACAAAGTCGAGCACCGCAGCGCCTCCAAGCCGCCATTTGAGGGCACTGACATCGTCCACTACAATCGACACGGCGCCATTTTCTTCATTGCTAAAGCTCCTCAAGTACTCGAACAGCGTCGTCCACTCTGCCTTGGTACTGTCCGTCTCCATGCTGGTCCAATCCAGCACTTGGAGCTGCTTTTTGGACTGAGAAGCTGCAAAATTCGCACCCTTAAAGAGCTCACAATTATTTGGAGAATTTTAATTTAAAAGCCTACATTAATTACTTGCCAATTTCCTTCCAACGGCTGCATAATGTTCAGGAGTGTTGGCGCTGGCAACAAAACACACGCGATGGCCAGCTTTGAGAAATAACGACGTGAAGTGATGCACCAGGAAGGCCCCGCCAGCCTCCACGCAGTCTTCGAGCACCACCAACTGCCCTCGAGGCGCAGACGTCGGCGTCCACGTCAACGAGTCGCCGAGATGATACAGAGCCTCCGCCATACGAAAGGTATTACTACAAGTATAAAATAAAGTATTTGCCGTGGAATGTGACCATAAACAAGACAACTATTGCAATTTTCAAGTTTAGTTTGTACCGGTATTTAAAAAAATACTTTGAGGTACTAAACTTACGAAAAAAACTTCAAAATGCTAAACTGCTGAAGGTCTGACCGATTACGACGAGGAATTTTTTCGAGCACGATATATTCGTCTTGGTACCTGTGCTCGGGCTGGACAGTGTTGACGTTTTCGTACTTCACCAAGTCCCAAACGCAGAAGATGAAGCCCAGCTGAAATGCATCGATCTCCAGGATCTCCACGTGGTCTCCACGTTCGGCTCGACGGGCGGCCCAATGCATTGCGTGCCGATGACTCGCGAACGTCGACACGAAAGGAGATGGTTCGGGGTTGGACCAATCGAGATGGTCCTCAACGGCCCTCTTAAACTGCGTCCTGGAGGTAAAATCTGGGTCTTTTCGCGCTGTGAGAGACATGTACAGGACGCGATAGAGCACCCGAGGAATCTCGTTCTCCGCGCACTCGTACCGATTGGCAATTCTGAACGTTTTTGCTGACATAGTCATTGCGCTTCTAGAATTAAATTCTTGCTGTAGGTGGCTGTGAGTTTTGCAGATTTTGCGTCCCTTTAGCAAATGTAGCCAGTGATCGTGGATCTTTAGTTTCGCCATGCACCGAAGTAATTTTCTTTTATTTAACTTCGGTAAAAAGACTTCCGATATTTTTGTTATGTAAACTCTACATACGACGTAGTGGTGATTTAAGAAAGCCGTACTGGTTACCGTATACTAAGTGCTCAAGTGGCACAGACGCAGGCGTCAGCGACGTCAACAATCACCGCGATGATGCAGAACCTCCTCTGCCCGATTTTAGTCTCTCGCTAATGGGTTCATTGGGAAGACGCCGACATTGCTCTTATCAGATCAAACTCTTTCCGCCACGCGAACACCCAATGAGTGACACTACATGCCTGTTGATGATGCTTTGCTCGGGGATGCCACGCAGCACTAGATATTCGTCTTGGTACACATGGTCCGATAGACGAGTGTTGACAAGGCCGCTCATCACTAAGCTCCAGACGCTGAAAAGACAGCCCAGCTGTGACGCGTTAACTTCTAGCATCACCACTTGATCACCCCGAAGACCAGCCCAGTTCAAAGCGTGCTCGCGATCCTCGAACACGGACACGAAAGGGGTTGGCTTGCGGTTATACCAATTGAGGTGACTCTCGACGGTCTTCTTGAATTGCGTTTTAGTGAAGAAATTTGGGTCTCCTCGTGCGGTGAGTGACCTCCTCTCGTCGTACTGAACTCGATAGAGCAGGGCTGGAATGTTCTCTTGCGACACTTATACAGATTCGCGACTCTGATCGTTTTCGCTGACATTGTGCCGGTATCTTTATTGCGAGCCTTGTGTATGGAAGAAAGATATCGCACATGCTGCGAGCGTCTGAAATGATTCATTGATCGGTGTGGGAAATGCCGGAAGGATTCCTGCTTGAAGACCAGCGCATCAACTCGAATGAAAAGATCAAAGTGAAGCGTTCTCGCTGACCTGCGATTTCTGCTCGTACGCTAAATGTGTCCCCATCGATGGCACCAGCTCTCTTTTCACCCTTCATGTTGGCAAGCTGCACCTCATCACGGCCACCCGATTTCCCTTGATTCGCTGCAGGTCTGCCACACAACTCGTTTTTTTTCCACTACTCTCGTATGCCCCTCGTTCGCACCTGATTGCTTTGACAACCCTTTATAACAGTATCGACGTGAGGTGATGGCGCAGTAACATGATATCCTTTGTATAGAGGGACCGATGACAACAGCAGTAATTCCTGCCGCCGACGCACCATTAGTTGTATACCAATCTCATGTATTTTGTGAAGGTAGTAGATGTCTAACGTTAAGTCGTTAAGAAAATCATGAAGTCTTGAATTTTATCATGACTGTTTTGTGAGTCTGCCTAGTTGGCTCCGTATTCATGGTACTGGTACAATCATCAGACTCTTTCTCAGCGAATCGCTTGTGCTCTTAAACGTTGGTCAGATTCGAGCTCTTAGCAATTAATTGCACGCCTTAACTGCTGGTTTGTGATATTAAAATAGCAGTGGTTCGGATATCTAGGATGTTAGTTTGACGGTATTAATTTCTTTAAGCAATATTACTTCTTGCGACTTTAACTCTCCTTCTGTTTTGAATCTAACCAGAGAATACATCATCCTCCTCACTAGCTTCTTCGCTACTTCGTCCAACACTGTCCTCGCTCGAGTCGCCCTCAGCGCAGGACAAGTAGGTCTCCCGGATAATACTCCGTCGAGGGATCTTCCTCAACACCAAGAACTCGTCATTGTGGAAATCTGGGTCCTGAATTAAGTACCGCGCTTGAAAAATTGACCCCAGCTTTGACGCATTAATTTTCAGAAGAAATACGTCGTCGTATCCAAGTTCGAAGTGGCTTTTCGCCCATTTGACTGCGTGTTCTCTTGTCCCAAACAACGTCACGAATGGAGTTGGAATGCGGTTGGACCAGTCGAGATGCATCTCCACTGCGCGCTTGAACTGCTGCTTAGTCTTGAACGCAGGCTTGGCACGAGCTTTCAACGACTGACCGGTGTATCGCACTCTCCACAAGACTCTGGGTACGTCCTTCCCATCGCATTCGTAGCGAGCAACGATTGTGTTTGACGTAGACGACAGCATCACGGGACTCAAAGCACTTGTTCTTGACGTGGTAACTTGAGAACTCCAAAACCTTCTCAATCCACAATCGTAAATTACGTGTTTACGTCCGATAGTTCTCATTTATCGTTGCATTGCAGGAGTACCTGATCTGGCAGCAGAGCCTCCACCATCCCGCTAAGCGCCATGACATTGGTGGACATCGCGCTCATTAAATAGTTAATTACCGCTATCGTCTTGGTGTCATCCTTCAGATTGGGATCCAAAAAATACGGTGTCAGCACATAACAAGTTGACACTCGTGTAGCACAGCCCTGGCTATCTCCAGGATCCCGTTCAGAGCTCCATTCTTCTGGCTCAACTAGCACATCATTCTGCTCCAAGAAATAGATTCCACCTACACGCTCGTTGGCAAAGCCGAACGGCTCCACGTAAGCGTCCCACACGAATAAAATACGTGTATCTTCAATATGTCGCTGAGAGATCTGCTGAGCATACGCTGTCCCCGTGACATTGGTCTTTAAGTCACTCATCTCGAGGCCAAAGCTCTCCGTTATCTCATTGGCTGAAATGTCTTGAAAACGCTGACCTCTGTAGTTGTGCCAGTTCTCCCACCACGCATCCCCATTTGCGCGCACGTTAAACGGCATGGTTCTTCTATCACAAAACTTCCTCTCTGTCCCTTTTAATGTGTTTCCTCCATCTAAAACACCACCGTGTTTAAGGAATTCCACAGAAACGGAATCTGTGGTCTTGAATACGTTCTCCATCCTGTCATAACACATCTTGATCCCGATTGTAAGCTTTTTGAAAATCAGTGCCGCCATGCGTTCAATGTACCCATCAGGAATATCAGTGCGACGCGTCTGCTTGGTCGCTTGAGGCTCCGTGTCATTCCACGTCGGTTTTCGTTTGTAGAGCATCTTCTCCAAGCTCTTGATGAGTTGTTTCTCCTTCTCCTACTGTTGTCGGAGCTTCATATTCTTCTGTTCTGCTTCCACCCTTCGATTGAGTTGTCGAGAGCATATTTCTTGCCACACACAAGGCACGCCGCTAATATGAACAGGAGGCTAAACATTCCTTGGTCTCTTGCTTCGGAGAGTCTGTAGACGCTGAAGAGTAAAGTCCAGCTCTAGCACTTGCTCCTTTAGTACTACCAGTAGGAATCGACGTTCATCTCGAGCTTTGTTTGGGTTGGCTTTCTTCCTCTTCTTACTGCTATTGGTTCTCGTGATGGTAGACGCATCGGCACCGCTATAGGCTTCGTTGTCGTCGTCCGGTATCCCCCAATGCAAGTCAGGCATCCAGTCTGTAATGGGTACTGGACTTTCGGCCAATTGAAGCTCATTTGAAGCTGCTGGCGCGTCCAGCAAGGCCAGCACTTCCTCCAATTCCAGCGCCATGTCATAGCACAGTTTAAAAATTCAGATTCGCTTTTTAAACAGTGTTTGACACATAATGTTCCATTCAATCGGGTCGTAAATTACTTTCACAAAACGAAACATATCTGTTCGGTAATAAACCTCGACGGTAAACTATGTCCTTAACTTGTTGTTGCTGTGTTGGAATCATATCATCCACATCATCATCCCATCGGGCGATAGTGCTGTGTCGCCCATAGTAAAATCTGGCAGCGCGTTACTTTGCACTTCACCAGTCACTCGGTTACCGGTAAACTGCGAGTCGTTGATGCAAATGAACGCTAGTCGTCTCATGTCGTCGAAGCTGAGTTTGTTGCGACGACTGGACTGCGTCAGTGTGCTCTTACAGAGCGTTTTCTCAGACGCCACACTACTAGGAGCAAGCGAGAACAGCGTCAACGCCAGCGACTTAAGATGCGGCCAATCATCGGCTTCCGACTGCCAGAACTGCAGTGGCGAGCGGTTGCCCTTTTCCAGCATTTCCCACTTGTACGTGCGGTTGTTGCGTTGATTCTTAGCGTACATAACGTATTCTGTGTACTCCTCCGTCATGGCTCGTCTCCGGTCCTCGTTAACTCCCATGTCCTGGTCTGTCTCGGGGAAGTTAAATATCAACTCCTCAATCTGCTCGCGATAGTCTCTCGTCATGGACTTGCCAATGTACCGTGGATCTAACAAAAAGGCCAAGCCATGCGCCTCACTGAGCACATATTGCCAGCGCTCTGTGACCACCTTCTTGATGTATTCCAACTCAACTGTCGTGAGTCCAAAGACGGCGTCAAAATCCGTAAGTAAATGTTTGGACTCGAAGTAAACTTCGGAAATCGGCGCTCGGTCATCTTGGAACTTGTATAGGATCAGTTCGATGGGCGTCAGGATCGTGATGGCCTTCTCTAACGTCAATTTCCAGTTGAGATTCAATACAAACTCCTTGATACTCGTTCGAACTGCACGTTGATTCGTCGGAGATTCGTTGAGGAAGTCTGGGTCACTCACAATGGACTGTAAGATATCTTCCGACTGCATCAATACGCGGAATCGAGCAGCCAGTGTACCCCACGCCATCGTGGACGACGCGTTGGTAAAGCCCTTCATCGTATGAAGCAGCTGCGAATCGAACATCTTGAACTTCGCTGCGTACTGGTAACTACTGAAGAACGACAGCAACTCATTGCAGTTGTTGGTCAACTCTACGAGATCTTGGAACGGGAAATCCATGTGCATCTGTGGCATCAGACGTCTAGGATCATTCTCCAGCGACTTTTCTGGACCGAAGATGTCCATGATTGCCAAGTGCAGAGCGTGGCAGATACAGCCATAGAAGAACTTGGTGGGATACTCTGCCTTGAGCATATCCCACGCTCTTGAGTGGTACTCGGTACTACCCGTGACCACTCCACTAATGTTACTAACAATGGGTTGCATCATCCGCTTGAGATCTTGCGCAATCATGATAGAGTTGTACTGCGACTCCTCTCCCTCGGCCTTTTCTGACTCCAAGAAGAACCGTTTCTCGTTGTTCACCGCCATATACGTCACATACATTTCCTCCGGGTCGTTCGTGTAGTACAAGTTCATATTGGACCATGCGTCTCTCTTCAGACACGCTCTCACTGGACTAGTGGAGAGATAACCCCACACTTGCTTGTGCATTTTCTCATAGCACCGGACCATCAAGTCGTTCTCCAATGTTTTCTTGTCTGGGAGCTTCAGATTCGGTCGTAAAATTGTCATAGCTCTGGCCAGATGGGACTCCTCCAGCGCATCAAACGCCATCCCCGTGACGTACACGTGCATGGCCAGTTCCTCTTCGAATCTGTCGTTCTGCGTCTTTGTCAAGGGTCCGTTCTTGTTTTTTCGGTCCTTAGACTCTTTCTCCTTAGCGTCATCTTTCAAAGACATACTCATCGTCGTAGGGTCCATGAGACTTTCAGGAATACTCTGTTGCATTGCGATTTGGTTCATCACCTGTGCGTGATGCGCTGCCGCTTGGTCTAGAGCGCTACTTAGAGCTCCCGTGGCTTGTTGCATCTGCAGTGCCTCCATCTGCGCTCGTTGCGCTTGTGTTTGGTCTGTTTTGGCCCGTTTTGGGGTGGGAACTTTGGCACTGAGCTTCTGATTGTACAGTGGCAAGACGTCTGAGAATTGGTTCATGAAGGTAAATTGGTGTTGCATCTCCTGGAACCGCGCACATTTCTTGAGGTGGCGTATGGCCTGCTCCGATTTCTTGTAGTAAGCTACGGGCTGCTTGCAGTGCTTGCAAGTCGTCGAATTCCGGCGTTGTGGGTCCGGCTCGTCAGTTAAAAGCTGCCAGATGAGACTCGGAGTGCGGCCAGGTTTCTTCTTCTTTGAAGCAGCAGGAGGTGTGGATGCGTCAGGCCCCAGTGGCAACATGTTGCCCAGTGTTGGCGGTGAGCTCATACTGCAAAAGGCAAGTTGAAGTGGTCAAGCAAGCCACGAAGGTTTTTCCTCTTCCCCGGAGGTTTATTGCAAAGAAGCCTGGAAGTGAAAGCTAGTGGCCAGCGATCCACTGGGAAACATTCGCGCAACATACAGACAACCTTTTTTAAAAGTCAGTAGAACCTTTCTTATTTGATAAGACCGGTGTGTTGCCATCAGATATAGCAATTAAACGTGCTATTCAGGTCACCTTGAATACACTCAAAAATTCATCGTGGTACAGTAGTACGAAGCACGTACAGATTAAACTCGCCAAGAAAAAAGTGTGTCGTACACTATGCAAAGATACGAATTACTTAAGTTAGACAGCTTTTCAGAAGAACGGTTTGCATCTGATCAAACAAAGAAGCTATTGCTCTAAAAGTCCAGTCTTTCGCTAAATCAGTAAAAGTGTCGATCGCTTTTACAAGGGCATTTTTTATCAGGGTTGGATGAGGCACAGTCGCCAAACAATTCGCTTATGCTAAATTCGCTCAGCGTTCTCGGAGGTAGGACAAGAATCTGAGCGCTTACATGAAGGGGGAGGTAGAATTGGCCTGCAAGCTGAATGCCAAGACCAGGCAGTCGCCGGTGATTGATATGATGCAAGCGTATAAAAACAGATACTTGTGAATTTAAAATGACAGATCGTTAGCTCCTGGTTGATTTGCTGGGCGCTTAGCTCGCGTAACATGAATGAAAGAAGTAACCAGGCAGTCGGCGGAGAAGGCAATCAGGCAGCCGTCGGTGATTAATATGATGGAGCGTATAATAACGGATATTAATTGTATATTTGAAAAGACAGATCGTCAGATGCTGGACGGTTAACTCCCGTAACATGAAATTATTGGGCCCTTAATTGCAGAGTCACGGCCACCTTTGTTTCCTTTTCACTACCGAGTAGCCTTCCTCAAATGTTAAATTACTCTACTAAATTAAACATTTCCCTCCAAGCGGCACCAGCCCAATCCTCACCAATTTACAAATGTACCAACGAGTTAATAAGCGGCAGTTAGGTATGTTATTGTGCGGGCCTGCGTCCTACCCCGTGACCCGCACGCTTATCATCTTGATACTACCAGTATGGACCTGTCTCTTAAGGCCTTAAAAATACGGCCTCGTGTTTTTCGAGTATTAAACGCCAGGATGTCGGGCTTCTTCGCGAAGCCGCAATTATAGACAGGTCTCTACTAGTTTTGTTTGAGTCCATGTTAGGGCCATCTGTATTGCTGTAGTAAAGTACCTCCAATTTAGTGTTATTCTGCTCTCTGGAAAGCTTATACTGAGGGCAAGCGATAGTCTCTTTGCGTATTGCTGTCATTCTACTCATCTACAAGTTTACACATGCCAATTTGTCGTTTTCAGACAACAACATTCCCGGAAAAATGACTCTTTCCAAATTTTGTCTCCAGGTTGCCTATGATGATTGAAATATTACCGCCATTTTGCAGGTGCTGACACATTTGCATGTCTCTAAAATCTGTATCAAAATTTGGCCAATATCAAGCTCGCTCCATAGTAATCTCTGGGAACGAGCTCGGTGGACGCGAGTACGACACGACATCATGTTTCTTAAGGTTCGTTTAGATGAGGTTTTACTTTATAGTGTAAGGTATACAATGTGGGGATTCTCCAATTCGGTATAAAACATGTATTAATGCCTTTACTTGGCAATAATGACTATCTCAATTTTGTGGGGGTGAGTATTGCCACAATTGTTTTTGTAAACTTCAATCATTTTCAGAGCATAGATCGAACTTTTAAATTTAGAAGCAGTACATATGATAACTTTATAATCATATAAAGTCAGTGTTAAATTTTACCTAAACCTAAGTCTCAGTCGCCCTATTGAGAGCTTCCTTAACTTAGTGTAAGCAAGTAACGGAGTAGCCCGTTATATTTCCTGCATGTGATGGACGCTATGGCAACGAGTGGCTAGTCACGGAGATTTTGGTTTGATGTGGAGCTGTCCCTCCCCCCCACCAACATATAACCCCCTAGCCTAAACTACACATTCAGTGATTAGAACAAATTTTAAAGTATCAATAGTTTCGTTTGTACCATATCGTCATTATTACTACAACAGTATAGTAGTAGTACATTTGTACTACGAAGTACTAGTTAGCACCAGTAACGTTTTTCTTTGTGTCTGACTCAGACAACTTTACTTGCACCTATAATGAATAACATCCGGAAGCGTAGTGGAGATTGTCAATCGATGTTAAGCTCTGAATCGCGACACCTTAGTACCAAACAAACGCCAGTGTATCTATTGCCCTTCCTAGTTTCTGTAGCCCTTCAATTAGTTTGAGGGCTTGCGGGCAAGGAAGCTCATGTACATCTCAAAAGCCGGTTTGTGGCGGTGGGTAAAGACTGGGTGATCCTCAAGCAGCTTGCTCACCTTCTCCGCGGTCACCCCCTCAGCTTTCAGACGCTCGTACGTCTTTAGCAACTTCTTTCGGTCTCGCATCATGCCGTCCAAAGTCGTAAATGTGGATTTGTCAAGCCATTCGTTGATCTTCCCGCCGTTCGCACTGTTGAAAAGTCGATCGATTGTGTTCGAATCCTCTGCCTTCTCCTTTTCAATCTGCTGTCGAAATTTCTCGAGGTTTTCGCCTTTAATTTTGCGCATGCCAGAGTTAAGAACATCTTTAACCCCCCTGTTACCAACGTCATAAGTTATGACATAGTCCAAATTGTACGTCGTAACTTACGACATAGTGTTTTCTTCATATAGGAGTTGGCTCGGAAACGGCGACCTGATACTGAAATCAAATCAAATTTGAAGCCGATCGGATATAAGGCTGGAGAGGTTTTTGCTGCACACACAAAGCCAGTACGAGGGAAAGGGTTCAAGTGCACCTTTCCAACTGTCATCATTTGATGAGTGGCCAGAAGTCTTCGGGCACTCTCAGCCATTCGAGATTTTGCCGGCTGAGACGTAAGCAAAATGCTGGTCTCTGTGAGCGCAAGGACCAAAGCTGAGGCTCAAGCGTCGGTGTCAGCGCCCGCCCTGGATCCGCGCCTCGTAGACTTCGGCCACCTGTGGCGCCAGCTCAAGGCCGCGGGGTCGCGGTCGAAGCCTCCCACCGGACTGTCAAACGATTGGGCGTACGTCAGGCCGTCAAGCGAGGTTCCTGCAGAAGGCGAGATTGTGTTCTACGGTATGTTGTGCTGGTGCAGTATTACTATGCGTCATTTCTAACTTGGTTTGTGGTAGGTGAGAGAGCGGTGGTGGAGCACGCGATCGCAACCGGACTGATTCAGGATGAAGATGACAACAGCAGTGGCGAGGAGAGTGGAGATGGCGGTGAGGGCAAGAGCGGTGGGGGCGGTGAAGCTGAGAGCGGTGGAGGCGGTGAAGCTGTGAGCGGTGGCGGCGGTGAAGCTGTGAGCGGTGGGGGTGGTGAAGCGGAGAGCGGTGTGGGCGACAGCGGTGATGTAGATGTGGTGGAGCGTCGCAGATTGATTGCAGTGTGGCCCTCTCGGCCAACACAGTCGACGCGCTGTTCGGAAGTGACAGCGAGGACGATGGCACACCTGCGTTGTCGCAGAACGCGGTTGGGAGAGCTTTCGGGCTATCCCCGCTACGTGCTGACGCGGTGCATGATTCAGACCAGAGTGTCGTGATCGGAGCTTTCCAGCGGCTGCTCTCGGAGACGGAGCCCGACCTAGACTCTGAGGACGACACGGTAAGGGAGCCGAGAGACGCCAGCGAGGGTGACGACGCTGGAGGACCAGCTGTACCGCGCGATCCAGCTGATGTAAACTTGATGAAGGCTGGAGATCTTAGAGAGGAGTACGAGAGTCTGAGTTCAGGCTCCGACTACGGCCAGTTTTCTGACGACGACGACGTGGAGCCTGTCCGTCCTGATCCAGACGAGGACGAGGTATCGGACGACGAGGAGTCGCCCCACATGGATGCCGCTTTCATTGAGGCCCTGGGTGGCACCTTGTCCATCGAGCAGATGGACCAGGAAGCGCCGCGAAACTTTGCCTGGGGCGCGCCTTCGACAGTTTTTGCGGACGATGTGTCCTGCTTTCGCGGATTGGTGCAGGAGACCGCCCATCCAACACCAGAACTTTGCTCGAAGAAAGAATCACCTCTTGAATTGCTGTTTTATTTCCTACCGAAGAGCCTGTGGCGGATCACCAAAGAGACGAACCGGATGAAAAGGCAGACGGTGGACCATCGAGCGCGTTATGAGCGATCGCGGACGTTCAGAACGGAGAACATGCGTACACTTCGTGAACTTCGACGCCGTATTCGTCGGGAGAACGACTACTCACTGCGCGAGATCTTGTGCGTTATTGAACTTCTCATGGCTCATATGTTGATCCCCACCCGACGCTTTTCGCAGCACTGGGCAATGACTGACAATAGTGCTTTGAGTGCAGGTGCGCTCGGCAAGTACATGAGCCGGAACCGCTGCACGTCGATCCTGCGCGATCTACACTTCGCGAACAATGACAACCCGAACCGTCAAGACAAGCTGTGGAAGATCCGTGACGTTGTTGATGTACTGCAGGAACGGCTCCTGAGCGCGTGGAAGCCGCCGAACATCATCTCGTTTGACGAAGGCGTTTTGCCGGCGACATCCAGACGCAACACGACCAGGATGTTCATGCCAGACAAGCCTCACCGCTACGGGACCAATCTGTTTATGACATGCGACTCGCTGACTGCGTACTGCCACCGGTAAGCGACGAATGTTTTTTTTTGTTGATTTGCTAGGTCGTAAGTTATGACTTTATGATTTTGACCGTGCTCTCAATGTCGTATCTTTCAGGTTTGAGATCTACGTCGGAAAACGCCAAGCCAGCGAGTCTGCTGCGCAGGCATTGGACCGTAAGACGGGTGCTGCGGCAGTCATCCGCAACCTGAGCGCTGTTCTAGCTGGGCATCGTGGCTTCCGGGTTGTGGTCATCGACCGCTTCTATTCGTCCGTAGCTCTCGCCATCCAGCTTCTCTCTATGTCAATCTACGTGATCGGTAACATCATGACGAACCGCCTGGGCTTCAACCGCGACGTCGTAGCGGAGCATAAGACGCGACCAAGGCGCATCGAGCGTGGATCCTTCAAGTTCGCAAGATCGACGGCAGTGCCGACCATGGTTTCGTGGCTCTGGTGGAACCGGAAGCCGGTCCACTACCTCGCGACAGGTGTGTCCATGGCAGAGGACAGGATCCAGCGGAACCTGAAGGGGCTCGGGACTTCGATGTTCAAGTGCCCGAGGCTGGTGACGGATTACCAGCGCTGGATGGGAGGAGTCGACGTGCATGACTAGCTCCGCCTCCAGTCCTCCTCCATCCAGCTCTCCTTCAGGTTCCGGAAGTATTATAAGAGTCTTTTCCTCGGACTACTGGACCTGGCGCTCGTCAACGCGTACCTCACGCATAAAGAGGCCAGTCGGCTCGCCAGCGAGACGCCCATGAAGCGATACGAGTGGTTGAGCATGCTGCACAAGCAGTTGCTCCAGCTCAAGGACGAAGCCTTCATGGCAGCCCCCACTCCGTCGCCAGCAGCACGCAAGCGAGGGCGCCCTGCATTCTCCGGGCACACGCTCGTGCCGTTCAACGACTGGGTGACTGTGAGGGGCGGCATCCAAAAGAGGCGTCAGCGGTCGTGCAAGGTGTGCTCGCTGTATCGAGGCGAGCTCAAAAGGTCGTTCCAGACGACCTACTACTGCCCGGACTGCTCCAACGGCGACGCCAAGTTCTACCTGTGTGGCAAGGCGCGCAGATGTGGCGACAAGACTTGCTTCCAAGTATGGCACGAGGACTTCGCGTGCGGTGACAGGATCCCAGCACACCTTGGCAAGCGAGTCGTGCTGCGCCGCGCTCCCAAAAGGGTCGGCGTCCGCAAGAAGACTCGTCGTGAAATTCTCCGCGAAGACAATGAGGGTGCTGATGAGGAGGCCGAACCGTGAATGCGAAGGAGCGCCAGACGATGGGAACAACTAAGGATACTGTTGTTTGGTTATAAATAGTTGTTGCTTTTTCTTGATTTCTGTCGGTAACGGCCAAAAAAAGGATTTGCCGTAATTAAAATAAAAGTTGTTTTCGTCGGCAATGGCAAATCTATTTTTGCCGTTGTCGACAAAAAGAATATTGTTATTCTGTTTTTGTTTATTTTTATGTGAGGGCCCTCCAGCTGGAGGGCCCTCCTTAGTTTCCCCCTGACGATGAGTGTGCTTATTGCTTCAACGTCCTTTACCATATGATCTGTGTCTGTTCCTCTTTTAGCATGTCATTCATCGAAAAGCCCTGTTCTATGTGTGCATTCGCTTGCGTCTTCCCGTTATAATTTTTATGTTCACTCTTACAAAGTCGTAAGTGTCGGTGTCCGTGTCGTTTGGGTCATCCTTACGTCGTATGATATACGACGTAGTGTGTAAAAACCTTTGAGAACGTAGACCTCCCATCGTTTTGGATAGGCAAGTGGAAGATACAGCACCATACAAACGCGCTGGTAAAAGCTACGCCGTAAGTTATGACGTAAAATTAGTGGTTCACGAGCTCATTTTACGGTATCAGAGGGGTTAATATTGTTGCGTTTTGCTCCTTCGACGAGCTCGTCAAGTTTCCCAGTGCTGAACTTTCTAATCATTTCGGGGTTGATGTTCATCCTTTCCTCATCGTCCAGATCGTCCATGTTGTAGCTCCTCAGGAATCGCTTGGCGCCACTTGATTTGGCGGAAGCGATAGTCGCCAAGAATTTTGATTCATCCATGGTCGCAGAAACATCACCACTAGTAGCAAGGATGATAGTTGCAACCATCACGCACACATACCATGCATGCATGTTTGACTCTGAACTTGTTTCCAACGTGGGTGTCGTTGAGGGGATTGGAGAATGAACCGATAAATTGTGCTGCCGAGCGACAACTCAATTCATGCGTGTGCTGCCGCACGCTCTACGTCCTTATACCCTTTTCAATATGATTAGGTCTTATCCATCTGTGATCCTAATCCCTGCAGTCAATAACAAAGCCTCTATAATATTGAACAAGGTCCCGTGACGGGGAGCTTTGTACTGTATCGAGTGTTTTTAAACAATAGACGTGACTAAGCTTAAATGCTTAGTCACGTAAAGCTCAGTCACGTTGATTGCTCCGCTTGACATTTTGGATTGCGTACTGTACAACATTACTAGTATTATAATTCGCCAGTACAGATTTATCCCTGTAGCGGGCTTTGTTCTTCTTTTTGAATTGCAGCTCCTAGCTAATATCAGTTCTTGCGCTAGAAACCAGAGAGATTGATATAAAATTGACTCTCGGTCGACTCGTAACGTGCACAAGTACTGCTTATATGAACCATCCATCTTTGTACCGCAAACGGATTTCCCACGTCGTCCACGTAATTTTGGAACCAAGTCCACATTCAAATACACGTCATAGCCCAATTGGCTAATAATGGGTCTGGCTCCCCATATTTCAGCCAATGGCATGACAGCATTTCAGCGCACGCTAGTCGTGTGCTGATGCACCTACTTATGTATAGAAATCTACCTATTTATGCCCATTACATAACCCCCTCTAAACGTTGCACTCACGCAACATAAGCGATGATGAAGAACATTAAAGAAGACTGCTGGGACGGCGGAGACGGAAGCGGTGACGCTCGAGACATCAAACCACTGCCGTATCAGCAAGAGACACACACGCTCGGCGGCAAACGTGCAGAACGAGAAATTATCTTAGACCACACCTTGAAGGCTACCGGCGCTGGCGCCAGTGTCAACACATGTGGCTTTCGAGATGACAGGCGAGACGTGACTGGATTCTGGTGAAGTGGGGCTTGAATCTTCGCACAAGTCCTGAGGCACATTGTGAAATCTGCGATGTCGTATCCGACGAGTGAATAACAAAGCTTGCTCACGCGCAGTACGTGTGGGTTCATTTCGCGGAGATCAAACTCAGCGACAAGCGCACGTGCAAGTGATTTTGTAAGGAAGCACTGGCACGATAATCACCACAGACACAAAGACCGAGGGCCGACTGGAGACTTCTCTGTGCGTGAGGGACACCCGTCGTGGGACGTCAATGTTGTTCAAGCAGACGCGAGGATCACAAAGACAGCGCACCAGGTACTTGAGACCGCGGATACGGGGATGCAGAACGAGAACAATAAACACTTGAGAGAAACAGTTGGGAAGCTGTAAGAGCACAGCGATCGACAAAGGTATGTAGAAACATACTCGCGAGTACGCTTCTCACGGTATGCCTCAGTTGGATGATTTACTTGGAGACAGAACTGCGGAATAGATAGACCGTCCTAGCTAACAACTCGAAATATTCAGTTTCTTCTTATTGGGTTTAAAATTTTAAAGTAATTAACAGGTCATTATATATACCCGGCGTTGTAGGGGCTGACTGAATAGTCTAAATATGGAAGTTTTCACGTCACAAATTTTGCGAAAGGGTGACCCCCTCATTTTGTAGCTTTTGGCTAGCCCACCTCTTCAGATTTTCTATACTAAGTGATGGGCCTTTTTGTCTGGCTCAGCAGCTTTAAGATACAGTATATGCTTCCTATTCCGGAACTGATATAAATTAATTCCCTGAAATTTCCTATGCAATCGTTTAAAGAGGGAAACATGATTGGGCCTCTGATAGGGGACTCTCGGAGCCAGTCATTTACTCTGCTCGCTCCACATAAAGCTCGCACTTCCCACAACAGGACCCGCAACGAGCAGCCCATCTAGTCATGGGGGGATGGATGAAGATACAGCAGAAGCGTGGGCTTATCCAGAAGGCAGCTGATTTTCCCAGCATGACGCATGAAGAGCTCGATCTGGGGCACGCAAAAAATCCTCACTGTTTTAAGAAGCGCACGACGGAGGAACTCGGCTTTAGCTACCGTTTTAATAAGAAGGTGTGGATGACAGGCGGGAGTGGTTACTCAATCTAGCCAGGGATACGCGAGGGTGTGGGCGTCATATCCTCTTGCTTCTCGACAATGCCTCTTCACACAAACTGGGAGGGGGGGGTTGTGTGCACCAATATTCGAGTGGAGTTTCTCTCCCCCCCCAACACTACTGCGTTCCTACAACCTATGGACGCTGGCATCATTGCATCCTTTAAAATGGCGTACAGAAGAAAGCAGCTCCGGTGGGTATACGACAAGATTAAGGACAACGTTGAGATTGATAGTACGGCGTACGCCGTGGACCAGTTGCAGACAATGCAATGGAGCAATGACGTCTGGAATGAATTGCAAGGTAAGCGTACCATTGAGAACTTCTTTCGCCACACGGGCATTATCTTTAATGCCGCTGATGAAAGAAGCAAAGAAACCGCTTTTACAAGCTACGTATCAGATGTAGATGTGGAGATATTATTCTTCTTGCTTCTCAGTTGAATTTGTAGTGTTACCTTTATAAAATATATCAAATCCTAGGATATGGTCGGACCTCGATACCGGAAGTAAGAGCATTTACTGTAGCCCTATCCGACTTTGGACAATCCGATTGTTGGTTTTTAGTGGTCGAGAGCTTACAAACAAAAAGCGCGCCACAAGGAGTCGACGTCGTCGGCTGTGATCTAGAAGAAGTTGTGTCGCTCACCAAGAATGCGGAAAACATGTGAATGTGGGGGACGTACTACTGTTCCGTAAGGAGGTCGAAGACCAAGGCAACATCATACTGGTATACTGAATAAAGGCAACCTCGATTCGTGATGGCTCACAGACCTGCCACGTAGGCTACCTGCCGTGTAGACTGCTTATTCAATGTGTCGCGTATAACTTTGGCAATTTGCTACCGTCGTTGAGGATCTACGACACTCAGAGAACGCTCAGAAGCGCCATCGGTCGGAGCGAAGTGGTGGCATGGTTAGATGCATAATGCTGAGTGAAATTAAGGAAAAGTTTAGATCGTAATGCTCTCTTGAATCTCTTCTATCTCATCTTCTCCATCGGTTTCATCTTCACGCTCTCTATCTACTCTCTTAACGCCGAAACCAATAGAGGTAAGCGTGTTGCGAATAGACTGCCTTCCCAATCTTTAGCAATCCATGGGACGATGTCTTCAATTTTTGGATCAGGTACGTTAGCGTCATAAGGAATTGTAGCCATTTGCGTCGCTACCCAGTCTTCATACTGTGCACGAATGGCCTCTTTGATCAGCTTGTTGACTCCAACGTCACACGGCTGTAGTACACAAGTGTAACCCCCCCCTACCTGGAATAATGTTATATCCGTCCCTAACCGGTCCCAAGTGATGTATCATGTCTTGCCTAAATTTGGGTTTGGTATATGCTTTAGGAGATTTTTTTTAAATCTTTCAATTGCTGGTCATAAATACGTAGCGGACAGTATTTCTCCGTATTTTTGTTGATTTTACTAAAGCGTACCACAAATTGTGTGCCTACCGAATTTTCGTAAAGGGTAGCCCCCTCTTTGACTTCACGAAAGGGGACTTACCTAACAGGGCACTACAATTTGCTCGAGTATAATGTGATTGGCTGACACACACAGCTGCCAGACGAGCTCAAATCATATTGACATTCGGAGACTATTAAGTTCAGAAGCATGCCAAGACGTAAAATCCGCCTAACCGTGAAAGACAAACTTAGCATTCTGCTGGAAGCCAAGAGAGAAGCAGTCAAGGGCACAGCACGCATGCACAAGGCGTACCCGTCTCAGATTCGGCACTGGCGAAGGAATAGAGAGCGTTTAGAAGAAACAGTGAAGAGGAACCCACGCGCCCGAGCGATTTCTGTCGGCCGACCCTTGCACACGCCAGCTCTCGAAAATGAAGTTGCTGCTTGGCTTCTGTATTGCCAAGGCCATTAGATTGATGTTTCAACACGCCATGTCATCAGAAAGCGCTATCAATCGATCCTACTGTTAAAGAAGGTGACCGCAAACGCCTTTGCAACGGGTGTACCCATTTTCTGGCTGAGTATTCGGCGCCTTACTCACGTCGGTCAAAAGCTTAGCGACCACTTACAGTATGTAAGCAACGAGTTCGTTAGGATGGTGAACGAGCGCTTCCGTCTCGGTGGTACACTAGAAGGAACGCCACCATCAATGATCGTCAATATGGACGAGATGACTGAGCATTACAAACAGACAGCAACTACAACTATGGCACCTACTAACAGCAGCAGTATAGCCATTCGTGACAGCAGATCCAATCGTCAGCGACTTACAGCATGCATCACTAGCACTCAGGACGGCACTAAGCTACCGCTGCTTCAAGTGTTCAAAGCCAGACCTTGGTGGTACTATTGAGAAGAAGCTCGACAAACTACTACCACCGGGGGTATTTGGCTGCTGCTAAGAGAGGTCGGTGTAACTCCACCAAATAAGTTGGAACCGCCACCAAAAAAATGGAGAATGCACACGAATGGTGGACAGCTATCACTCACAAAATAAAAGTGGAGTGTCCACACAGATAGGAAGCAGTAACACTTAGCACAAAGCTTATAAACACTCCATGTCAGTGCTTTCGCTCGAATCATTAGCATAGGTGAAGTGATTAGAACACTACGTTGTAGCGATCATGTTGTAGTTGCAGCAACAACGACGCCTCACTTTCCCTTGCAACGAGCTATGGCACTAAATTTCGGCTGGAATCCGAGCAGAGACCACACTCAGCGAGGATGTGGTTGGAACGAAGTAAGAAATGACCATAGTAATATTAAAAGTTAAGGAGATTGTGATACAAATGATAAAAGAGATATCTCACCTACATCATTGCCTCGATTTCTTTCTGCTTTGGAGGTGAGACTCGACAGCTCGTCTTGTAAGCTTCCGTTGACGTTTGGAGCGCCGACAACTCCTGGATACGCCATT